GCGTTCGCGACCGCTGGACTAATTTTGCTGAAGCGCCTTCATCATGCAGTTGCCTTTAGCTTACAACTGACAGCACTTTAACCGATTTTAAATTTTTTCAAAAGGTCTCCAAAATCCTGCCTCCCATCTATGCGACATTTTTTCAGTACTGTAACGTTAGCGCCAACCTTTACTGCTTGAACAATCGCCTATGACAGATTTGTAAGCACAAAAAGCTTACGTTTTCCTTTCAGTTGCTGTCGCTGCCACAAGTTCATAGATTTGAGCCCCATACTGGCTGTTGAATACCAGGAAAAAAGCACGCTTGTCGTTGGCTTTTTCCTTAGCAATAAGCGGAGCTAAAGGCATGATCGGAGACCATTTGGTCTCTTTCGATGGCTCCAGAGTCTGAAAATAAAGGCTGCCTAAAGGATTCTAGCACACTAGTGCATATGTATACCGCACCTTGAGCTGCAGCTTGTTGCCATCACTATGCTTAGTAAGAAACACTAGCATATTCTCCAAAAGCACAACATGAAGCTCAATCATTTTACCGCGATTGAATCGACAAGTGAGAGGCCCATCATGGACAAGACGGTATCTGCAATGCAATAGTTTGTTGAGTACGTGCACTTTATATTACCCTAGAATCTAAGTAGGGCTTCTCCCAAGATAAAACCTTTTGAGATTGAGTTCGATACAGATAGGGCCGCATCGGAAATTTTGACTAGATGTTAGGGCAGTTAAAATGAAAATGACTTATCTGTAGGGCGAACTCAACTAAAGAGGACTTATCTGGGTTTTTAGGGTACTCATTTGCTTACATACTATACTCTATATCACTCGCTTACTCACTAACTCGTATCACTCACTTTGTCAAGTTCAGGTAAGCGTAGTCATGTCCACTGAACTCCTTGTCGAAAGGAGTTGTGTCCATCCGTCTTTGCAGTTCTTCTAATCGTCTCAGATTTTCAGCATTCCGCTTAGCTGTATTCACGGCACTTAGTATTCGTTTAGCAGAAACTACAGTGCGAAGCAAACGATCTTGTTCCTGCAAAAAATTGGCTCTCATTACACGTACGAGCTCACTTTTCGTGCACTATGAGATATCATAGAGATAGCGTCAACTCAAAGACAGAGACTCGGCAGAATGACAGCATTGGGATATACATCGTTCTAAGTTCCTTTAGATGAGCTAAGTCCAAGACTGTGCTTTGCAGCTTCAAA